GACCTGAGGGAACAACAGAGAAGCTTTGAAGGTATTTCAACTATTCTTTTCAGCTTTCTGCAAATGAACAATCTGAGTATTCTTGTGGATTGTTTTCCAGATTGTTGATTGAGTTTTAAAGAGTGATTTCTCCAGAATCGTACGCTGGCCAGAAACAATGAGGAAAACAGGTGGAAGATCTTAATGTATTTCCAGAGTGGAAATCTTGAGAATAAAGTAGACATTTTAGGAATAGAGTTTAGATTTTGCCATTTTAAACAGATATGTTGATAATAATCTCGAAGCCAAGGACTTTTTATTTATTTAAAGATTTAAATTATGGATTTGTCATCAATTCGTTCTTAATGATGAACGCCTTATTTTTAAGAAATGTGTGAGCATGTGGCCAATAACCACAATATATTTGTGTGTGTGAGTCGACTGATAATGTCTTCAGTTTGCGACAGCAACTTCCTAAAGCTACATAAGAGCCAGTTATTTTTGACTTTATCAAACATCAGGAGGGATTCATGCATTTACTATTTTCAGCAGCGGATTAATCCACATTCTCCAACAAAGTATTTGAGACAGAATCAAACCAACATGCTGGTTTCTGTTTCACATTGGATTCTTATATCTCTTTTCCTAGAGCCCAAAGACGAGGGTTAGAGTTACGGGTCCTGTGTAAGTTTAATGTTTAATTCACAATAAATCATACTGTAGTGGTTTTTAAAATATAAAAGGTAATATAAATACAATATTTTACATAAAAAATACAACTTTTTTGTAAATTGTTCAAAAATAAGAGGAACACAAAAAACATTTAAAAAAATCAAAAAAAGGACAAAACTCAGAAATGGGTGTTTGTGAGGACCCACTGACTTTATGGGGACCAACTTCAGGTCCCCACATGGTAGCTACTAAAAGTTTATGGTTAAATATAATGTGTGTGTGTGTGTGTGTGTGTGTGTGTGCGTGCGTGCGTGCGTGCGTGTGTTTGTGTGTGTGTGCGTGCGTGTGTGTGTGTGTGTGTGTGTGTGTTCTCACCTGTGTGTGTTTTCCCGGTGGCCATCAGTGTGATCAGCGTGACGCTCACGACCGTCATGAGGACGAAGAGGACGGCGAGTGTCGCTGAGACTCTGTGCGTCATGACCTCTGTCCAACGGAAAGACTTTCTACAACAAACAACGTCTGCTCGATGGTCAAGACTTCAGGGGAACGACATTAACTGTAGTAAATTCTGAGGTTCATTACTTCATGTATCTGACAGATAAAGCACAGTTAGCACAGAAAACGTGTGAGGTTATAAAAGCATTTATAACGATAATCATAAGAAGAATAAACTTTATTTATGGAGCGTGTCGATAACAGCAAACACACATTTCAAGAGCAAACTGACAATAAAAAAGAAAAGAGATTCCAAAAAATATAACTTAAAACACATTCAGAGAATAAATAAAGAAAACAATAACAATGTCATTAATTATAACCCGAAGTATTTCAATTAAAAAAATGTCAGAATTTCAAATCTACAAGAAATAAAAACCCTTCCTGTTACATAAATGAATTATAAATCCATCTGATGATTCACATTCACAATATGAACTAAATAAATGTACACAAAATATCATCAACAGGTATTTTGTATGATTTTCCAATACAGGACTCTGTGGAAGAGTCCGTCCGCCGCTTTAGTTTAAAGAATAAACCCTACAGCTCCGGAAGATCTCCACTATTACAGCATTTCTCTCTTAAACTGTTCAACTTGTAGAGTCAGTCTGTTTCTGTAACGCTTATTATAAACCGGTAAAAACAACACGACTCACCTTCAGAGCAGCAGAGAAAGTGTGTGTGTGTGTGTGTGTGTGTGTGTGTGTGATACTGATCTCAGGTGTGCTATCTGACTGATAAAGTCAGTCCGAAGGTCCCAAGCATCTCAGATAATAAACCCTAATAACCCTTATCAGGCTGTTTTCCCTCAGAGCTCGGAAACACACTCTCAAGGTCCACCTGCTGTGTGTTAGAGGGCTTCAGACCGTATCAACCATCTTCATCACATTATATTTAATAAAGCACTCCTCAAACTCAATCACAAAGTGGTTTCATGACTTACAGATCAAAATATAAAGCATCTTTTATATAAGAAAAGATTCCACACTCGGAAAAAGCCAAAAAAATGATATAAAACGGACAAAAAGTGCCAAATAAAGTTATGATGCTTCAAATAGCACAATATAAATATGTAATGTATAATATGTCAAAGTTAGAGGTGATTTAAAGAGCAGGTTTATCAGTTTTCATGGAATAAATATTGATTGTTAAATTAAAGAACTGTGTTGGGACTTCACCGTATTCGTACTCAGCATGATCCACTTCCTGTGCGATCACCTGACCTTTACCCAGCCTTACAGACACGGAGGATACGAATGGAACCAGTTCAGTAATGCTTCGTGTAACTGGGATCGTTTCTCATTTTAATAAATGCTTTTGTAATATATATGCTGGTGTGTTTCATGTTGTAAAAGAGTGAGCTCTGCCAGTATTACATTTAATAATATTCATTCTTTGTGATGCACCTAGGTAACTGTAGTGCCGGTACCTGCCAACCCCAAATAGGATTTTTAGGCTAACGCTTTTATCCAAAGCAACTTACAATAAGTGCAAAAACCATAAAGAAACATGTTCTTACAACAAGGAAAGTGCAGATATATTCATCTCAAGCAAGTTGTACCATAGTTAGTGCTGGGGAATCAGATAAAGGCCTACATTAACTCTTTAAAGTAGAATTGAATTGGTAAGGTACAGTGGAAATAGATTCAGTTCAGTTTGCGATGGAAGATATGCAGAGTCTCTAATGGGGGAGCTCATTCCACCAATCAGGAGCCAGGATAGCAACCAGCTGTGTTTTTGAGGGGTACCTGGGTCCAGTGGCGGCTGGTGGAAAATATTTTAGGTGGGGCCGTGGAAATGGTGATCAAACAATACTAGGGGAGTCCTGGGGGATGCTCCCCCGGTAATTTTTTTTGAGAAAAGACCCCTTAAATTATGACTTCTGGTGATGTTAGAGGGGGGGAAGGACAATTTGAGGCTTAAAAATATGAGAAGACTGATCAATACCTCCATAACTTCAGTGTGGTTAGAGCTATGAATCTTCCAAAACTTCCAAACACCTTGTCCTGGACATAGTTTCTACAGCATAAACTGTGCAACAGTACAGTATGCCCACACAAACTGCAGAACACCGGGGCTTTGGGAACACTGATTTAATTCCCATTTAACCTGTTAAGGGGCTTTTTCCCCCCGTTTTTTTTCTCACGAAACTGTGTCTCAGGGCTTCTTAAAATGTAATAAACTATTCATGTGTCCTACTCAGAGGAAACGCATCTAACTGATGATATGAACCATGTTTACCGAAACAAAACACAAGTCTCACAAGAAGCGTCTAAATGAGCCATGAGCGAAAAAATGATAACGCACTCTAGGTATAAATCAATCGATATACTTATCGGATATGCACAAACAAGCTTACAAGCTGAGATTCCACAAATTCTAGAAATATAAGTATCATCACTGAGCGATCAGAACTCGCGACAGGGGAAGCAAATACAGACATCACACGGCGTAGCTTTAGGTAGCAAAACATGGAGATATGCTCACCTTTTGCAGAATAACAATTCTGATCAAAAACGAGAAAAACGCAGCTGAAGGTTAATCCATAGGTTAATCCAATGTGTCTGTCACTTTGAAAAATGATTGATGATCCATAATTCAATTTTATGTCAAAGACGGAGTTTTCATTAGCTGCTAATGGTAGCTTCCAGAGTGTATGACAGCTTCCTGTTTTGTCTCCTTGGATACGAGTCCAAACAACTCACAGACTGCACCGGGCGCTCACGTAGGAGCCCTGTGACTATCAGCGCCCAGACGAGAGGGAGTAATGATACACGGGCTGCGGGCAAAGCCAGGCAGGAAACATGTGATTTATCAGTAACTTTAGACATCGTAACACAATTTTAAACGAGATTTTATTGTAGATTATACATTTTACTGATACCAATTATATAATATTTACCTTGTTTATTAAAAATAAAAATAAAAATAAAAAATATATTTTTTAAATATATATTTTTTTAATTTTTTAATTTATTTATTTTATTTTTAATGTGGGAAGAGGGGGGGGCGGCGCCCCTAGCGCCCCTATGGGCCGGCCGCCACTGCCTGGGTCCCACTCTCAGTGATGGAGCAGCAAGCTGATTGGCTGAAGCCATTTGTAGTGCACGTGCTGGAGTGTAGGCCTGGATGTAGGAAGCAGCAGATCGTAGCCTGTGGAGGGGTGTAGTGGGAGAACTGCAGCTTTCTGAATCAGCTGTAGGGGAGGGGGGGGGGGGGGGGGGGGGGGGGGGGGGGGGGGGGGGGGGGGGGTTGTTAAACCAGGAGGTGCAAAGAGGACCTGAGCAGGACCAGGACCTGCATTGGGTCAGTGATGATGTTTCCTCCTGATGTGAGAGTGTGTATCTGCAGGACTGATAAAAGCGACGTAAACAAATAACAATAGTACAAATAATAAGTCCTCAGAACTGCTACAGGATGTGTATTTTGTAATTGTGTAACTTTTTTTTATTATCATTTTGTTATCTTTAATACTTTTGTATGCATGCGTCTTAGTTAACATTAAGCTGTCCTTGTCTCTTTTCTGCTGCATCAATGTGAATGTCCCCTCTGTGGGACTGATAAAGGTCTTCTGATCTGAGTCTGAAACTCAGGCTAAGCAGCATTTTGGCTCCGACACCCAGGTTCCTTGATGTTGATGGAAGGGAGGCTGAACACATCGGGCATGTTCTCAGTTTATCAGACTTTGGTATCAGTCGTCCTCGTCCTCCTGGCATCCACCAGCCCTTAAACCAGGTCATCAGTTAAAAGTTAACAAAGCTGCCTCTTTCTTTGGAGTCCTGTCCCCAAAATGTGGTTACGTGTCACATTTGGGTGCCAACAATGTGGTGTATTTCACACACTCGCTCAAGGACACTTTTTTCCACCTGCTTATCAAATAGTTTCATCGGTGAGAAACAGCAGCTGATCAGTGATGTGTTCAACATGAATAAGACAGGAAGGCAGAGTGGACACACTGCGGGAAGATCTCCTTCAGATCACTGCAGCAGAAACATGACCATGAAGGTGAGGACAATTTAACATTTAAAATACTCTGTTATAATTCAAAGTCCTGCATTCTGCAAAATGAAGTTGTTGTTGATGAACTTACTTTATAACCTTTTATTCATTGTATGGAAGAGGATAAGTGTGTTATTTGATCTGCATTATCCGACCTAAACTGGATTAATTTTCTTGTTCTGAGATTAAAGTCAGAATTTTGACTTTCTGAGAAGAAGAATCCCTTTTGGTCCGATGTGAAAAGATGTTTTACATGTGGCCCTGATCCTCCTCTGTATACTGCTATATATGTATCAGAGGTGAACCGTCAGGGTCTTCAAGGCATTCAGAGAACACCCTGGAACACTCAGATAAAACATCGATTTAATTATATAAATAAAATGTTGATCTGTAATATCACAGTGTTACGTTGATTTGTTTCTCCTTCTCGGTCCATGCACGACGCATTTCAGTGGTTTTGTGTTAGAAAAGAAAAGCAACCAATCAGATGTTGTTCTGGGTCTCTGGGTAGAACATCCTTCAACCAGGTTTTCTATATCCTTGATAGAAGGCCCTGGCCCTCACACTGAATGAGAGCGTTTGGATTGACAGTTTGATCAACCAATCAGATATTGATTTGTAGCCAATGGGCGTATTCTTTCGGTGTTTCCCTCGGTTCCAGGGTATTCTAGAAGGCCCGGTAGTTCACTGGCTCGAGACAGAGGATCTAGATCAGTGGTCACCAACCAGTCGATCGGCCGATCGCGAGTGTGGTGCGGGTAGATCGCGCACCGTTAAAAAAAAAAGTAACAAAAGTGAAAAAAAAAAAAGTTAGCAGGTGCCACTTGATTGACGGGTCTTTGAGACATTCCCTGTCGCTAATAGACTGGCTTCAAGTGATGCTGCATATTTTTGAACTCCCAACTACAACAAAATAAACATATTTTACCGTGATTTAATTGTAATACACGTTTCAAAATGATGCCGGAATAACTACATACTGATACCGGTTAGTAGAAAACATGAATTAATGCTTTTACAAGTGTGCAGACAGACGACAGGAGAAACACCTTTTAAAATGCTTGTTTTCTGAATGGAGATCGGATCGATCAGGCTAAGCTAACGTTGTATCTGCTCCGTCCACACTCACAACAACATGATACAGACACAGATACAACAGCGACTGTATTCTCCATGACACAGACAGTCTGTGGTTTGTTCATGTTTAACTTTGGTCCAGTTTCTGAACAGATATGAGGAGCTGTGAGCTCTGAGTGCTAACAGCTAACGGCTGCTGTTGGGTTTTCTGATTCAATGTCAGTGACGGCAGGCTGAGATCCTCACCGCTGATTGGCTACCGCGCGAACGCGTCATTTGCATCGCTGTTGTTAGAATTTAGAATTTTTAACAATTGTGTTAAAATAACTAGTTTTAATGTTAATGTTAAATGTTGCACTGCATGAAGCTTCAGTGGATAAGCCTCACAGTTAAAATGGCACTTTATGTTATTTGCTCACTGCAAGATGTTGTTTTTTTCTTTGTTGTTGTTGCTGTCAACAAAGTAATGTACTCATTCACTCAAACAGATGGAAATAAGCTACATACATTTATAGTTAGGATTGTAATGAAGGAATGAATTCAACTTAAAATGATAGGTATGATGTAAATATATATATGTATCCTTTTTGACATGTTAGTTATGTTGTGTTCTTGGTTGAATCAAATTGGAAGTTCAACCAAATGATTTGATGTAATTCAGATGCAATTAGCCGACAGGTGTGTGTTGTCTACAGAAGGTCCAGTTGTGATAGACACGGTTCGCCACTGATATGTATACAGTATATATATATATATATATATATATATATATATATATATATATATATTATAATATCCTTCATATGGTGTGATTAAATATGAGGATAACATTTACTTTGTTACCTAACCTGTGTGGAGGAACATGAGAGCCACATGTGCATTCAAATCTTTCTCAGAATTCTGTTTTTTTATCTCAGAATTCTGTAATTTCTCTCAGAAATACATTTTTGACTCAGGATTTCTCAGATTAAAGTCAGAACAACATGTCCTCTGTCCAGCTGGTCTCAATCGTCCTCGTCCTCCTGGCTCTGCTGTTGGACAGCGGCATGTCTCTCGTCCTCCCAATGGACTGCAGCGACATCTACAACAACGACAACACCCGACCCAGTGGAGTTTACACAACCATACTACCCCATCGGATCCACCTCGCTGTCCAGTAACTCCTCTGAGAGACTTCATACAACACTATCTCTCACTGATCAAATGGATAGGATGTGTTAATGAGAATGTGTGTGTGTGTGTGTGTGTGTGTGTGTGTGTGGTGTGTGTGTGTGTGTGTGTGGTGTGTGTGTGTGTGTGTGTGGGTTGTGTGGTGTGTGTGTGTGTGTGTGTGTGTGTGTGATGTTGTGTGTGTTGTGTGTGTGTGTTAGGTAGTACTGTGACATGGACTCACTGGACGGACGGTGGACGGTGAGTACCTGAACTCAAAAGCTAAATCTGGCCCCCAGTTATCTGTGAACTGAAACCTGGTCAGACAGCAGAGATGAAATATACGTACAGTATCTTTGTGCAGTATTTAGTCTAATCTATCAAATCTACAGTTTGATATATCTACCCAGAGACCGTTGGGACACTTGAAGTGTGTGTTAGCCTAAACCATGCTAGGTCAGGTTAGCTCCCTGAATGCATTCAGTGAATGGCAGTTGAGAAATCAGAGGCTCCACTTTAGATCTACTGTTGGCTCCTGTTCCCAGTAGAGGCTGGTTCAACTCTGTCATGCTCTTTTTCCATGGACTGGAAATGTCCATTATATTTGCTGAGAGATTTAGTATTTCCCCCAGGTGTTCCAGAGGAGGATGGACGGCTCGGTGAACTTCTACCGGCCCTGGGATCACTACAAGACGGGCTTTGGTAACGCCGCCGGAGAATACTGGCTCGGTGAGAGATGAAGACGAACCGGAGGTCCTGACTTGATCAAACTCACGGTTTCCTAGCGTTCATGGTGTCTGTTTGTCTGCAGGGATCACGCCACAACAGTATGATGTTTGTAGGTTTAATAAAAGAAGGAACAATGAATTGATATTGAGGGGAGGATGAGGTGATGATGACAAATGGCTGATTACGGGACCCCAAACGGTTCCTAGAATGAGATGTTTAAAATATACACAAGTTGAATACGGATGGAGACAGGTAGAGGGGGATGAGGGGAAGTAGGGATGAGGAGATAAGGGATAAGGGAAGGGAGGAAGGGAAGAGAGGGAAGAGAGGGAACAGGGGTGTTGGGATGAGGAGATAAGGGATAATTGTATTCTTTTATTTTATTTTACCTTTATTTATCCAGGATCGGTCTCATTGAGATTAAAAATATATTTTCTTAACCTGTTAAGCTCTGAGCCTGTTTTTCAGGCCTCAGGCTCCAAAATGACATTCCCAGAACAAATGACCATATCTTCCCTTCTAAAAGGGTTAAATTAATAATCTTTTTTCTCAAAGTAATGATAAACCTGTGAGTTGATGTAGAAAAGTCAGAATCAATATAGATGCTTTTATTTTAAAGAAAATTCAGATTTTTACATAGTAAAAAACTGTAAATTATAGTGTCTGTCCAAAAATTCTTTTTTACTTATAGTGAAAACTACCCTTGGATGATGGTAAGATAACTAAAAGCTTTAGGAATCCAAAGTACAACATATAATAAGTACACCTGTATCAAGATTGATGCAAAACAAGTGACATTTGACCTTTTTACAGAGATTAGCCAAAAACCCCACTTCTGGGGTCATTTGGGTGGTATTTGACCTATCTCTGGCCTCCTTTGCTCGATTCTGATGGTTGACACCTCTTTCTGACCGTTAGAGCCAATAGAATCGAAGGGGGAGGCCCCCCACACACTCATTGTGAAACATAAAGGTGGGGGCTTTGCACATGTAATTTTGCATTTTGAGAGTGAAGCTACACTCTAGCTCTGACATCTGGAAACGGAAAAGCAGTTTTAATGCTTATGGATTATCAGAAATCATTTCAAAGTGACACAGACACATTAGATTAACCTATGGATTAACTTCAGCAGCGTTTTTATCGTTTTAATGCCATTGAAGACCACTTTGGAGAGACTACAGAGCCAAGGTAAAAATGTTAGCATTTTTAGCTACCTAGCGTCACCTGTTTTGATGTCTGTTTTTGTTTATAACGTCGCAAATCCGTATAATTTAGTGATAATGTCGGTGTCAATAGATTCTGTGTCACCTCACGATGTGGAGAAAAGATAAATAATAAGGTTTTGTGAGTGATCTTCGGTGCAGTAATCTGTTAGCATTTTTCGCTCGTTGCTAATTCAGAGGCTCAGTGTTAGCATCGTGGGTTTTCTTTTGAAAAAAAAAATGATCAGTTAGATGAGTTTCTTCCTGTTACATGGATATAAAACATTCATAGTTTATTAAATGAACATGCCCTCAGACACTGTTTCCTGCAAGATGTCGCGGCAGTACCCCGGTACCGGGGTCTCTCGGGCTTAACAGGTTAAAGGGAAAAAGTCCTCGGAGCGAAGACCATAAGATCCTGTGAGTTTCCGGTTTATGTAGATCCTTAGATAGCGAGGAAGAGCACCAAGAATAGCCTTATATATAAGGATGTGCCAGAGTTTCAGTCGACACGTGGTCAGGGAAGACCGTCCAACACGAGCGTACAGGTTGCAGTGGTACGTTGAGGTTTTGAAGTTTACGATGAATCTCAGTGCTCCGTGGTAGACGGTATCCAGCGAGTGAAGGCACTGAGAAAAGGCATTCATATAAACCACATCTCCATAATCCAGCATAGACAGAAAGGCTGCAGACACTAGTCTCTTTTTGGCCTCATAGGAAAACAGGACTGGTTTCAAAGAAAAAACCTAATTGTATTACTCTGGATAAGGGATGAAGGGATGAGGGAAGAGAGGGATGAAGGGATGAGGGAAGGGAGGGATGAAGGGAACAATCGATGAAGGGGATCGATGGGTGGAGGGATGAAGGGGTTTGGCCAAGTAGGAGGTAGGAAGGGAACTGTATTGGTGGAAGGGAGAGGGAGGGTTAAGAGAATGGAGACAAGCGATGGCTGATGTTTGGTCTGATATAAGTAGACTAAGGTGTGATTAGAGATGGGGTCGAGGCGTGGCCAAGCTCCTGAACAGTTAACATATGAACTTCATTTGTCTGCAGGTCTTGAGACTCTCTCCTACCTGACTCTGAGGAAGAAGTACGAGCTGCTGGTGGACATGGAGGACTTTGAAGGTGTCAAAGTTTTCGCTCGGTACTCCTCGTTCTCCGTGGACCCAGAGTCCTTCGGGTTCACTTTGCATGTTTCTGGATTCACTGATGGAGGGGCAGGTGAGGAACAGCAGGAAGTGCTTGATGTCTTTCTGATGTTCAGGAGACGCTCTCACACTTAGGACTGGCTTCAGACATCAGAGAGAGATAAGGGCAGAGGTGGGAGTAAGTCCTACATGTGCAAGTCATGAGCAAGTCTCAAATCTTGACCTACAAGTATCAAGCAAGTCCCAAGTCACTGTGGTGAGAGTCAAGCAAGTCAAGTCAAGTCATACAAAATTCTGATGAATAAGCCCAGTTTCCGCATTTAAATCAGTTAAAAGACAGTGGTTATGAAAATGGATTTAACCCACACTATGATCTTCATTACATACACAGTTAATCATTTGAAATCTAATTTAGACCGATGACATTCATATTAGATTAATATTAACCCTAGAACTGCAGACAATATAGCTAGGACTCAGTATAGCTAGGACTCAATATAGCTAGGACTCAATATAGCTAGGACTCAGTATAGCTAGGACTCAATATAGCTAGGACTCAGTATAGCTAGGACTCAGTATAGCTAGGACTCAATATAGCTAGGATTCAATATAGCTAGGACTCAGTATAGCTAGGACTCAATATAGCTAGGACTCAATATAGCTAGGACTCAGTATAGCTAGGACTCAGTATAGCTAGGACTCAGTATAGCTAGGACTCAGTCAAAAAGTCTGTTCAAAAAGGCAGAATTCCAGGTAAGAAAATCGTATATGGCATTTGCCATTACCAGTGGCGAGCCGTGAGCTTTATACCTAGGCCCTCTGACCCCCACCAATTCCCTAGAAAAAAAGAAAAAGAGTTATTACGTCACAGCGTATACTTCAGCGGAATATCAAAACAACGGCCCAGGGTGCAAAACGCATCAATGACAGCGACCCTCTACCACACAAAACAACACCTGTGAACCCAATTGTGTTCTTTGACATTGAAAATGATATTGCATTGTGTTTGTTACTTTCGTTGCAGTTGTATGTCTTAAGTGTAATTTGGCATGCTTTTATTTTGAAGGCGAGTTCACGCTGTTGACAGGAAGTTGTTGTTGCTATGGAAACAAGAAACGTTTCACAGCGGGCGGAACTTGTCATAAAGTCCGCGATAATAAAACCCACCCATTTAGAGGGAAGATATGATTGGTCAATTGTACTGTCATTAGACATTACTCTCTCGTTCAGTTACTATAGCAACCCTCTGTGAATCACAGAGAGGGCCAGACGAGCTTCTTTCATGTAACCCTTCACATTGAACAGAGACTGAACAGCAGATTCAAAGGATTTATTTCTTTGGAAATGTTATTTTAAATACAATTAAATCAAGTTTTTTTTCGGTAAAACTAATGAAAAATATAACAAAATATTAAAAAAATATATATTTAAAAAAAATATATATTTTTTAAATGTTTTTTAAATATTATTTTTTAGAATATCTTAGGCCCTCACAGAGGGCCTAGAGGGCCCTGACGGCTCGCCACTGGCCATTACACATATTTAATTTAAATGTCTGTTAACACTAGAACCACCAACAGCGTCAGCACCTACAGAGATATCATTTTCAAATCATTTAATTTGTTCCTCTTCATCATTTCCTTATAAACTAAGTAGGACGATTTAAAACTCAGTTAATTGGGTTAATTTAGAAATGGCTTCAGTTTATCATCAGAACAGATCAAAGAGTTCAGATTCACTTTACAATAAATCAAGGAATGATGCACTTCTACAAACAAACACAATTAAAACATTTAAACAAACTACTAAAAGTAGATGAACTACATTATTCAACAGTTTACAGTA